CAGCTAGAGAGGTGCAGGCGCGTGGTTTGATGGGGCGGATGGTTCACGGCCGGCGTGTGGCGAAGGGAGGGGCGTTGATGTACAGGATGTAGGAGAGCATGGTGATGCTTCCTTAAAGCGTGGTGACCACAGCGGGGCGTGCGTAGGTGCATGGGGGCGAGCTGGAGTTTGTTTCTGTTGATGGGCTCGTGGGAGAGGTCGTACCCCAGGGGAGGTGGCGACGGTGGCTTAGGCTTGTTGTTTTCTTCCATATGCAGATTTTTAGGCTTTATATTGCCGCCTGACTTATTCAGTTCGGAGGCTTTGTGCAAGTTTTAGGCTGCTGCTACTGTCTATCTATGCATGTTTGTCCTTGCCTTCTATGCATTACTGATGTTTATCTATACAAGTCTATGCTGATGCCTTTTATTTCCCAGTTGTCTGATGGTGAACTAGAAGTTTTTTTTGCTGATTAGAGATGATGATGCTGCTTTTATTTTTTCGAGTTGATTGATGAACTAGATGTAGTCACCGGTTTGGTGTTTACAGTCCTGTGAATGGCATATGTTTATTTGTGTTGTCATTGCTGCTTTGAAAGAACATGCGATGCCCCCATGTTTGGTTTTGGTAATTGATGACAATCTCTATGGACTAATGGTTGCCTTGAGTTATATTTGAAGGTTTTGTCCATAGGCTTTTCTTGAAGTCCATGTGTTGGTTTTAAGGAGTTTATGAGTTGACCAAGGTGCTATTAAGGAATTATCCAAAGATTGGTCATGTGAGTGTTGAGCTTATTGCAAGCATGTCTTGAAGAAGAAGATTATGTGATCATTCATGTTTACCTTCAAGACATCATCCAAATGAAGAGGGTTGGAAAGATTCAAGGTTGATCTAGCCTAAGTACAGAGAGTGATTCAAGTTGATCAACACACAAAGCGCACAAGTTGTACCGAGAGGGACGAAGTGTTCCCATGGTATGGTAAGCATTGTCCATTATGCTTTGTGTACTAACCCATGGTCTACGTGAGAGTTCTTTGTGGGGTTAGGTATGTTTCCATGGTCTTGCGTCAAGAGGAAGATCCCATACAACCCATGGAGGATGACATCAAGTGGTGATCGTCATCAAGTTTGCTGTGTGCAAGTTCAAGTGGAGCAACACGAAGAGTGGCTCACCCATAATGGAGTATGGGGGAGCAATCAAGTTTGAATCTTGCCATCCATTGTGGTGTCAATGGACTTGTGAAGATGTGCCGAAGAGTCGCTCACCCATAGTGGACTATGGGGGAGCAATCATCTAGTCTTCATCGAGCCAACGCAATCAAGAAAGGTGGTCCAACTTGAGGGAGTCAAGATCGTCTTCATCTAGCTCAAGTGGACCATGTGCAAGGCAAAGGTTTTCCCTTGATAGGTTTTCTATTTTACCGGTCTCGTGGTGGTAGTTGGGAGACCGGGTTATAGGATCGTTTGTCGTACTATCAAGGGGGGCTCTCAAGTTGGTAGCTTGATCGTATCGTTAGTAGAGAGCTCAAACCATTGCATCCTTGCATCATGTTTCTTTGTTCTTGTTTGGTTCTCTTTGTGAGTCTTAGAGCTTATGGTCATCTTGATGACAAGCTTGAGTTCATCGAAAACGGAGTTCGCATGCGTCTTCTATGATGTTTTCGGTGTTGGAGGTTTTACCGGTCTTATCCAAGGAAGGGTTCTCACCATTTTCTTATGGGCCTTTTCTCATTTGCTTCTTATTGTTTTTTCTATCAAGATTGTGTTAGCCCTTGTTGCTAGCTTTCCAACAAACTTGGTTTCATCGAATTCGGAGCTCGTATGCGGAAGTTGTGGCTGTTTTGATATTGCCTGTTTTACATAGAGAGGTTGTACCGCCCCGTGGAGAGGTTGTACCGGTTGACCAGTACAACCGGTGTTTGGAGCGGTTGTACCGCTCCAGAATTGGTCCGGAGGTTGTACCGGCCATGTACCGCTCTACCACCGGACTAGTTTCTGTTTTGGAGCGGTTCTTGGGCGGTTGTTGACCGGTTTAACCGGTACTACCGGTACTACCGGTTCCCCAGGCTGTTGTACCGCTTAGAGCTTTTCCCAGGTTGGTTTTTCCTCTGCTTTGGCCGGTTGTACCGGTTCGTGCACCGGTTGTACCGGTCCTACAGGTTTCTGCACATAACGGGCAGATTCGTGGGGACCTATTTAAGGGGGTCTTCTTCCCCAATGGTTCCCCATCTCTTGAGCTCGTTTTTGCCCCCATTGTTGACCTTCTTTGAGCTTGCTAACTCTCAATCCCTCCATGGATTCTTGCTAGTTTTTGAGGGAAAAGAGAGAGGAGATCTAGATCCACATTTCCACCAATCACTTTCTCCTCTATGTGAGGGGAACCCCTTGGATCTAGTTCTTGGAGTTCTTGGTGTTCTCCTTCTTGTTCTTCCTCTCATTGTCCTCCCTAGCATTAGTTGCTTTGGTGGGATTTGGGAGAGAAGGACTTGGGCACTCCGTGTGCCC